GTAACTGAGCATCTACACAAGAACAAAAGTCCTGGCATTTATAAAGTATCTTGGTAATTGTTTTTAGGAATGTAAAAGAATGTTAGATGGTCTAGTATTTCTTATTTCCTTGATGATTTATTTGCACTAACTAAAGATGCATTCATGATAGTTTTCTACCTCCTCATGTCTCAAACGGCTAAACATTACCACTTATTTTTACTACTCTATAACTGTATTTTGTTGTTGGTTTTTTAATATTTTAATTAAGAACTTCAAGGTCACTAAAAAGCTTGGATTAGCACTATTTCTTCCTATACTTGTTTCATATGTCTATACCTATTAACAACAGAAAGAATAGAAATTGACCATACAAGCTACACAAGGCCATTGGCACGCCATAAGATTTATGAATAACCACTAGACTATCACCATACAAAGACCATACAAAGACATAGGTGTTTTAAGGAAAAGGAGATGTCTGGCATGTCATATAATGATGCAAATTTGCCCAAAGATTATTACACAAAATTTAGAATGACACTGCCTACCATCTTGTATGGTAATAAATGATTTTCATTGAATTAAGATTCGTAAATCTTCAAAAATTCTGCATGAAATCCACAAAGTTTATAGCCCTCATATCATGCTGCATGGTTGTATAGGATAGCCTGCCTGCATACTCAGAATAAATGAATCAGACTCAGAACACATACAATATACATATCAAGTCTACATGGATGCATCATTTGCAAATATATGCACACATTTTTGATTTGGCATGAAGTTTTTACAAAAACTGACTCAAGGTTTGAAGCCTGGTTTCCATATAGTTGCAGTTGTTGTGTGGATTCTGTGGTTAGCATACGACTGTTGTAGAGATAGACCTGATTTCTATCTCCACGATTGTTGCAACAGTGTTGTAAGGCTGTTGTATGGCTATATGGAAACCAGGCTTAAACAGAACTCGCCCCGCATATATATTTTGACAGTTGGCCTTGACTGTAGCCAGCAATTATAAGCACCGTACAGTGATAGATGTATTACATCGCTACATCGACCAGTCGGCCACAACATGACAAAATTGAGGGGAACTGAAATGGGTCCCAACACTGCATAAGGCTCCGCACTCACCATAAACTTGTGGAAGGATTAGGCTGCAACAAAAGAGAAAGAGCGGCAAAGAGATAGCAGCAGCAGATTGCGGGACTCCCATCTTTTTCTAGCTCATATGCATAATATAGAGTCAGCCTGCTCTAACAGGCTGTTTCTTTTTTAGGCCACTCCAATAAGATTCATAGTTTCCCATTACAGAGGCGGGCCTGATGCGGGCGGGCGGGTTTGTTCATTTTCATTAAAATTTTATTCATTATCAGCTGTATAAATTGCTTGTATAATCATAGATACAGTATACAACAGGGATTGGAAACGGCCCGGTATCACGTGATCTTTTCCTTAACATTTCAATGAGACAATAAAAATTGTCAAAAAACCTAGGCGTGTTACGGGTTAAAAATAAATATTCAGGGATATTCTTCAGAAAAGTCTCGAGAAAGTCATCTGTCTAATGACTTTTTAAGATTTGAGTGGTCCCCATTCTAGGAAAACTTTGGCTGCATAAAGCTCTCTTTCGAAGGTATTCTATAAACTGGTACTCTTTGCAATATATCCATTCTCGTATGATTTGAGATCTTTTCTCCCTCTAGCTTCTACATTGATGACACAACAGCTGTTATGATGAGATGTCTAGATTGATGTGACTATTATCCAATGTACTGAGTGTTTTTAATCTTAATTTTCTCTTAAGCCGTGTTTTATTGAGGACATCAAGAATAGTTGGACCTACGGTGGAATTTCTCCCTCTGGCAACTTCACTATGACTAATAACAAAAATCTGTGGCATTAGTATTGTTCCCTAGGAATCTCTCCAATGTAATGAGCTACAATGAAGTGACTATTTTTGTCCTGTGGATATTTGGAAGGCTGTTTCTGCAAGTGAAGAATACTGCCGTTTATTGATTATTTTTGATAAACTTGCTATGCATGCAACTTTTATTTGATTCCAACTATTAGTTTTTACATTGTAGAATAGTTATCAAGTGTCAGTGATACTGCAGCGTCAAGATATATGAAATAAACAGGGTTTGTAATTTTAACATCTATAGGGCGGCCATTTTGAATAAAATTATTAACCCGTAACGCGCCTCAACCATTAATTATCCGAGTGTTTCCAATCCCTGTATACTGTATCTATGGTATAATCAATGAAAAACCGCAATAATGAATAGCGATGCGGCCCCATGCGGGCGGGTAATGGGAAACAAGGAATCAAATTGGAGTGGCCTTAACTAGATGTAGACAGCACTTCCTTCCTGTGCATAGGTTAATGTCACTAATTTACGGGACGAGACGGGGATCAGTGCTTTATTGCGTGGGATCACGTGAGCCTAATTTACGGGACGTCCCTTCCATCCCGTAAGTGCCATGGCCTATAACACTATCTATGCCTATAATAATTAACTTTTAAACGATCAATTCAAATTACCGAACCCGGCAAACAGTTACAAACACAAAAAATCTAAAGGCTTTATTTGCTGAAAAATTTGCAATTTGACAATTAGCTAACTCATTGATTTCTTAATCTTATTATTATTTTATTTTTTTTATTTTGATAAATCTAATAGTGAACTGCAAAAAAATGTCATTTTACAAGATAAATGACAAACTGCCAACAATAACGGCTTATGTTATTTTTAATTTTTCTCAGTATGACTTAACAACACACAATAACTTTCAATAAAAACATAGAAAAGGAGATATAAATCTAATTGTGAAGTTCATTAATAATAATAATACATGTCCAGAAATTGCAATGGGACTTCCGGTCGCGTTAATTTAATGATATTCATTGGAATTACCATAGCAACGGCAGTTCAGCAATGGTGGATTCACTACTAGCTTCACTACAAAGCTTGCAGTCTACACTCAGACGGTACATTTTTGTGTAAGGATCCTTTATGGCTTCACTTCCTGTTACATCACTGTTATAATTAAATTCATTGACAATTTCGTTATGAATATTATTAAAATCATTCAAAATTTGAAACACGTGTAGTTGTAGGCTCTTAATTAGATGAAATTTGGAAGAACACATCAACTTTGAGGGGAAATTTACCTGAATAAAATAAGACCCAGCACCAAAGGACAATCACAATGTATTAAGCAAAGGTAAGTACAGTACCAGACCCTTTGGCAAAAGCCCAGCACCCCTGTGAATGATTTGCACAAAAATCAAAGTTGCTTCGTGGCTAAAAAGTCAAAATGGTGGCTGTGCAAGTAGAGGTGTATCTCCTAAACAAAAGCACAGATGAAGCTCATTCTTGGTAATAGCAAGGAGAAGAGTTGGTTCTATCTGTATGTGGCAAAATAAGAAGAACAGCTCTTGTAAATCAAGGATTTTAGGCCGCCTGATTTTAACCAACTTCACGGCACTTTTTTGATAGCTATATTGGCTCCATTAGGACTGAAACTAGCAGGACATGGAGACTAAACCTTTCTAAGTCTATGGAAAGACTGTAGAGGTTCCAAGTATTCTGTGAATGATTTGCACAAAAATCAAAGTCAAACAATTTTTAACGACCTGGGGGCGAAGCCCCCAGGTCGTTCCTGTAATTGAATTCACCGTCGCGCTATCTATATATATATTTGTATGTCCACACTTACATTTCTTCTATACATGTTGTATTGGAGAAATAACAAGCCTTAGCAACCACCCGCCCACGCTCCTTTACGTGAGTGGGTGTGGCCACGCCTAACAAAATGGCGGCTTACACATGGGACAAAGTTAAGAGCTTTCTAACAGCAAGAGAACATAGAGATACCATCTAAAGACTACTCTAGAAGCATTATAAGGTAGAGAGAACCTCTATAACTCTTAATAGTGACCAAGTTGTACTTGCAAGGTGGTGAAATCAATTATAGGAATATTTTTACCCTGTTACGCTTGTTATTAAACAAGCATTTTTCACGGCAACATATCTTTGCTTATACTTAGTGCATGAAAACCAAACTTGTTTCTTTATAACAAGCAACTTCTCCTCTCTTAATGGTGCCAGTTACAGCACTGTTCAATTAACTATGTGAGAGAAATAAGTAAAATAATGTGGCTAACAATTCTGACATGGTGGAAACCACACAATTTCCTACACTTCCGGTGTTTAGAGAAGTGTACCGTCTGAGTGTAGACTGTTGCTAACGTCTTTCTGGTACATGGATGGGACTTCACTAGATACTTGAGGCTTCTAGAATGCTACTTAATGCAATTGGTTATGGTAGTTTTCTCATATTCTTTTGTTAAAGTGGCAAGCGTGGTGAAAGAACACTAGGCCCTTCTCAACAAACGGCCGACGGTCTTACTTCAAAAAGGTCTAGAGACACTATTTGCTTGTATATATAAGATGTTAAGCACTCTTTCTTTCACTTTATTATTCCTAAGAGAAGAGGAAAGCACTTGTGACTTGTTGACTCTTGCTGCTGCACCCGTCATCATTAAAATGGCTAAAATTACTTCACCTTCAGGAGACAAATGTTCCAAACAAAGTTTTGAATTTCTTTATCTTTTTTGCATCATTGGGTAGTAAGAATTTTGTACTTTCACAAAATAAGTGAGCAAATTGTCAAAAATTGTTTGAAATTTAGATATAACCATTCAAAAAGTAAAAAAATTATCATACATACATAAAGGAATGACAAGATGGCGGCACTGACTGCCTCATCTTCAATTGGTAAATGTTCCACACAAAGTTACTCCAAATGCTGTAATATTTAGCAGGAACACAGGTAGATGGATGAAGAACAGTTACTGAAGTGCGTAAATTGATGATTCTTATTGTAAAGAAAGATATAGCCTAGTAAATGGAAATGTCCATTCCTGCCCTGTATAAAGTCAATCAGTGGTATACGGAGATAATTGCTCAGTATACTACTCCGTGTCCGCTCATTTCTGGACATGAATAATAATGATAATAATAACATGGCTATATATAAAGGTCAATTGTATGATCTTGACTCAACAGTGACAGAATCACCAGCTGATGGTGTACCGTTTGATAATGACTGGTATCATTGCTTCACTGATACAGTAGCTAATTCAATACGCAGGCAGTATAAATACACAGGACATTGACTACAGTAGAGCCTGTGTATATTATAACAATATTGTATTAATCGTGACTTGTATTTTCAAAAGTTTTAGTGAAGTACAAATGTAAAACCTTTGAATGTTGTTCCCATTGTATACCAAGCACTTAGAGTACTGGCAGCTATGAGGACACTAACATGCTGAAATGTGCATGATTCATAAATTATAACAAGAGTGCAGACAATATAATTTGGGAATTTAGTGGTTTTAATAGAGTTTTCTACATGATTTTGGTATAGTGCTTCATATAGACTATACGGGGTTGCTAGAAGAGAATTTCAAGTTGTAATTTTTTAATAGATAGATCTAATTCTAATAAAAATTGGATTGTTATAAATTTTTAAGTTACTCAAAAATTTCCCTTTACTATAGTAGAGGTCTGGTCTTTACCAAAAATGACTAGGACAGAATTCTCCATTTTTATATTTTTATGATGCTCTTACGTTGTGTACAAAAGTTTGAGCTGATTCCAATCATAAATGTTTTTGCAAAACTTAAAGTTACTCAAAAATTGGATAAAGCCTCTGCTATTATTTGGCTGTAATTTTGCTAATGACTATGAGAGAATTTTCCAATTTTATAATTTTTATTTACATGTTTCTTATGTTGTGTATATAGCAAGTTTAAGCTGCAAAATTGGACATTAAAAAAAATTTTTAAGTTAATCAAAAATTGGGCCAAAGTCCATGTACTGGGTTCGGCCAAATTTTGCTAAAAATGAATAGGACAGAATTTATGACTTTAATAATTTTGTCTGATATACATACATGTTCTTATGTTGTGTAACAAGTTTGAACTGATTCCAATCTAAGTTGAATTTATTTTATTTTTTAAAGTTGTTCCTTAAAAAGCTATGTTTATGTGTATGCACAATTGTAGTGCTTGTTAGGTTGTCAGCTCATGAAGCATGCTTTTAGCTCACTTAGCATGTTTTGTGGGAAATGCTACGTCTTATGCATACTATATTGACCAATGATTAGCCACAGATCTGCAAAAACTGAAATTTTTCAATCACTACAGTAGGTTTTAATGCCACTGAAAACTATATAACAAGTGGGTCTCAAAGCCAATGTGCTTTCGATTAGTGCAGTCAATGTGAAAGATCACTTCAAAACTGTAAAAAGATGTTATTATGGGCTTAATTTACTAATTCTATTTTTGTAGATACAGAATTATTCAGTTCACTGTCTTTATTCAGTGTCCTGGTATTACTTATTATACTGTACATAATTTTAGTTCTGTTGTAAAATGCTGCCATCGCTGCAGACAAATATGTAAAAATATTGATCATGTTAGTTATTAGGTAGATAGTGACAGTTACTCGTGATATATACTAGACTATATCTATTTTATATTAGTTTTATAAAACAATGTTATTTTGTATTAGTTTACTGTAAAGTCAGTGTCACACAGCCAGACTAATATAGTTGAGGGCAGGACTTTACTATAATCCCTATTTACTTTTGCATAATGTAGCATGAGAATATTTCCCACTTTGATACAGGATCAATGCCACATTTTAATTCTATTAAAAGCTAAAACTTTGATTTTTGCATTAGAAATTTCTGCAAAAATAAACAGAAAGAGGAAATGACATGAAAATAATCAAACACACAAAATAAAAAAATAGCAAATGCACTTATTATTAAATCTCAATTATACTGTTTACAATGCAGTGCTTCCAAAAAGTTCATCATAACGCGGGGGCTCTGGCTGACGAATGGAATCAGCATTTGCTTCTGATTTCTCTCCTTCATCTTTAGGAGTTTGTTGTAAAGTGGCAACAGGATATGGATAAAAATGAGATGATGGAGGTAATGCCATGCCTGGTGGAACATAAACATAATATCCTCCATGTGAAGTTCCAGTAGGTACATTAGGAGGAAATGCTGGTGGTGGAGGATAATTTGAAGCAATAGTTGGTGATGCATTGTATTGAGGTGGTTGCTGCTGTGCTTGTGACCTTTGAGGAGATGAAGATAGAGTATTCAGTTGAATATTTGGTCTCTCATTTGTAGTAACATTTGTCCGAGGTATGGACCTGACTGGTGTCATTCTTGTGGAGCGCCGTTTCTTAGCATGAGTAAACAAAACAGCAAAAACCACTGCTATTATTATTATTAAAATAATGGCACCAAATGTACCACCAATAGCTCCTCCAACAACTATAAAAGAAAAGAATATGCATAGTGATTTACACGCAAGTCATAAATCTAGAAAATACCTGCAGCATTATTAGTAGTAGTAGCATTGGCATTGCAGTATCCTACAGTTGATACACTCGTTGACGATGAATAAGATGCTATCATTATGAAGAATAAACATAAATTAAAAGAGTAAAATGGACTTACAGCAAGCTACAGTGATATCTTCTGAATGTGTGCATGATGTAATACTGGAACTGGGACAAGAATTCCTTGAATTGAAGCAAGTACTTGATGTAGTGCTTGAAAAATAAGTAGACCATATTGGTTTACTGGAACTGCCAGGCCTATTAGTAATAAAATAAATATTAGTGTAATTATAATAGCAACTCACAGAGACAAATGGTCGTATCTATAATAACTACTGTATCCTAACTGCCTGCAGACAGTTCTAGCATCAGTTGAACTGAACCCATCATCACATATTGTTCCCCACTGCCCATTACAATATACTTCCACTCGTCCTTGATTAGAGTAAGCCCCTCCTTGAAGACGTAGCATACCAGTGTATGGGCTACTCCAAATTCTAGTAGTATCTATTGAGAAAAGATTCATTTCTATTATAATTCATATATTTCTTACAGCAGTAGACTGTAGCATCATAGGAATTGCTGTTAGTACACCCACTATCAATATATGTAGAGAAGGAGCATTGCAGTAATGTTAAATAGTTGCTATTAGCACAATTCACATCATCAATTATCATTTGATTAGTATCAGTCCCATAACTTGTTCTTCCAGCTCTAGAGTAGCTTGAAGCTCCAGTGTATCCCAACTGATGACAAATGACATCAGCTTCAGCTGAACTATAATAAACATCATCACAAATATTACCCCATCTACTATTATAATAAAGTTGCACAATGCCGTAATAGTATGAAGATGATGAAACTCCGTTACGATAAAGAACTATTGTACCAGCAGTTGCAGAACCAGCATTAGCTAAGTTAAAAAAATTAAGTAATTTAATACAAAAGAATGAATTAACTAACATATTACTCCAGCACAAGTTGATGATGTAGTAGTATACCTTGTAGAAGAATATGTCTCTCCTACAAATGATAATTCTATATTAAATATACATGTACATATACAACTAACTGCATGTAACTGAGACATCACTGGAGTGAGAGCAACTAGTAATAGAGCTTGAAGGACAACTGTTACTTGAACCAAAGCATGTAGCATATGATGTACTGTACATGTTAGTACTCCAGATTGGCTGACTTGTATTGCCATATCTACAAAAATTAAGTTTAAAAAATATTTAAAGTACATGTAGATCATTTTACAATGAATCATATCTTCTTAAACCAGAGTCATATCCAAGCTGTCTACAAATAGTATTGGCATCACTTGTACTAAATCCAGTGCTGCATATTGTCCCCCATTGTCCATTACAATACACTTCAACAAGTCCTTCATTAGAATAATATCCACCTTGAAGACGTACCATACCAGCATATGGATTACTGTTCCAGATCCTAGTGGTATCTGGGACAATACATAAAACATGTACTTAATATAATGAATATCTTACAGCAGTATACAGTGGCATCATAACTGTTACTGTTAACACAACCACTGTCAATGATAGTAGAG